ATATCTAAGATTTGAAAATTTAATATAAAACTGCCTATTAGTTTCCCTACATTTAACATTAAAACAAGTTTGCCGAAAACTCAAATTAAATTTTTATGAGCGTTTGTAATTAGACATTGGATATTCACCTGTAAATTCACAAGTTCTTGTAGAATGATTTTCTGATTTTTTTGTAATTCAAAAACTAATAGGTAATAGCCATATGTACTAACTTAATGTTTTGTTCGAAATGTTTGAACATTTATTGAGGTTCATCTTACCTATTGAGTTGTTAAAATGGCAGTTTAGTAATATTGAAGATGTATATACACAATTTTTTTAATACTTATGTGAAGTTTAAATTTTGATAAAATTCATGCAAATCTACTCAAATTACTTGGTAGTTAAAAACGTATAATATATTCAATTTTTACAGGTAAGGATTGAAAATTTAAAACAACGATTATCTTAAATAGTACATATTATACTGAAATTCAAAAATGTATAAACTCGTTCATAATTTATTGATATTTTAGGTTTAAATATTCAAAAAATAAAATATTATGATTTACTTTAAAAGTTTCAAGTACCTATATCTTAATATTTTATATACATGATATTTTAAAATGTAACTTTTTGGGTAAAAATTAATTCAACCTACTGTAGTAAAAATGTCTGAAGGTGAAATAAATACTTTAACCACGATAATATCATAAGATACACTTAGTAATTTAGTCTGACACACTCTCTTGCTCAGAATCATTTTTTTGTACAAAATATGGTTTTATATCATTGAATCCAAGTTTGACACATCCATTACAGCTACTCTTTTAGAGTTTCGACACTTACTATACAGCAGAGAGTTACCCACATTTCTTTATAATTTATTAATAATCACCATTAAAATTATATAAACAATAGTTATAATGTTGAACATTTTTATAATACTATTAACTATCTATGTGTTTTATTTATTTTTGTACATAGTCTTGATGAATTTTGTTACAGTACCCAAATGCTGTTGGATGTATGCTTTCTGTCATACAACTGGCTCTATTTGTTATTTATCCTAGAAGGTCTGCTGTACCATTGACCACCGAACTTCATAATCATCACCATCCATATCCTTATATTAAATTAATGGACGCATGAATGAGTATTTTATTATTATTTTACTAACATTTATAAGTCTTTTGGGTAGCTTATATTGTTGCAGTCTTTATGATGATAGCGTTTCATCAGAGAAGTACAAAACTCTAAAATCTAAAACTATAAAAAAAATTCTAATTATTGTTATTATATTTTTATTATTATTAAAAATGTATTCTAAGTATTACACTTGTGATATTTATATTATAATTTAACTAATTATATTTAGTTTTTATGTTGTTTTACACCATTAGTGGTACAATAATTGATAAATTGTGTTGTTGTTGCTGAGTTTATGTTATTTATTGATGACTGATGATTATCTTTTTCTCAGTTTTATATTTTATAAACTATTTTCTACAAAAATGTTTAACAGTAGTTAACATTTTTCTCAATAATTGTGTATTATTACTTATTAAACACTACTAATGTTCCTTCTAGTCTTTAGTTAGGGAAAATTAAGACATCACTTCATTGTAATCACTGATATACAATTTGACAAAGAAAGCAATTTATAATACATACAATTTATTTTAAGACAATAAGTATTGACAACTAAATTATTAATAGTGTATTATTATAGTTATTTATAATGTAAAATTTGTATTTTCTTTTCGAAAATATGTTATAACATAATATTATGTACCATTTACTTTGAAACCATGTACATTAAAAACCAACAAGGAATAATACTATTTTGTAACACCATCATTATTGTTGAATTACTTGAATAAAAAAAACCAAATATTTTCTTTTGTATTTTTAATGCTCTTAATTATTTACCTGATTATTATTATCCATTGAATACTTGGTATCCACAAAATTATTTTTTCTACTAGTATGTTTGTGTAAATTTTTTGCTAAAGGTTTGAATTATAACGAGAGGCAAAGCATAATATTAAATATTTAGATCTAGTTATTGAAATTTGAAATGGTATAACACTTGAATATTTCACAAGTCAATCATGTATTATATTTGAAAAATTCTTCACCCTCTATTATTAAATTTAAACATTAAGTAGTAGTCCATACTGTTGAGCTCTATCAGTGATTTACCAACGTGTAGTGAAAGCGTAAAACAAATTAAATTGTTGTTACTTATTACCAGGGCTCGCAAGTTCATGCACTAAAAAAAGCACAAATAAGCATGCATGAATGCATTAAAAAGTTCGAAAATATGCATTTAAATGCCCTTACATTTTTAAATTATGCACTCAAAATATGCATTATGTAAAATATTTATGAGCAAATTTTAAAATAATAAGAATATATCCATTAATTTTAAAAGTATTTTATTCCTTTTAATTTTTATATATTTAACAATCAAAATTAATAAAATGAATACTTGTGTAGTTTATATAATCTGATAATCATATGGATTTTTCATCTTTATTAATTTTAATTAGGTAGTCATTTTTTGTCTAATTTTTGTACACCATTATCCTGCACCTACAATGAAAATATTTGGAATGAAATATTAGTTATTTGACATTTTCACGACTCGTACAGTTAAACAACTCATCGGCGACTGGCGTGTGCAAGAAAACTATACTGTACCAGTGTACAAAATTGTAGATGCGGATTGGTAAGAAACATTGTACAGGCGTACATGCTTGTACAGGTATCGTTTCGACAAGGGACTAAACACGGCGAAGGATGGTAGTAGTAGCTATAAAATTGTTTCCGCGGTACTAAGTAAAACGCATAAAATCTAAATAGGGAAATACTAGAAAAGTAAGTAGTCACACAAAAATAAAAATAAATCAAAACACTATCATTCAGTAAACGGGAAAGTAAATAAGAAACAAGAAACATTTCAAATATTTTTCTAAACAATTTTTTTATAATACTATAAACTCTAAAAAAAAAACGATTATATGCCAAATTATGCCTTTACATCCAAAACATGCAAAAACATGCACTATTAAACTTCATATTATTATTACTATTGTTATGAAACGGATTTGTATCTCAGTTAGCATATTTTTCTGTGTAGCAAAAAAAAACATGCAAATGCATGAACTTACGAGCACTGCTTATTATTTATAAAATATTTGTAAACATTAAAACATTTTTAGAAAAAACAGTTTTTATAAGATGCCATTTAACCAACATCTAAAGAATCTGTATTATTTAAATTGTCACCAAATGGCAGCTTTCAGACAGGAAATTTATTTAATTTAAATTACAGTTTTTTTATTTCACCTTCACTTAAATTGGATAGCCATGTATATACAATTTTGGTGGTCTCCAAAAACAATGTGGCATAATCTATGGATGTATTAATTTTTACTCCTACGAGTACACTGTTTTATTACCTAACTCAGAGAAATTTTGCACCTTAAATTATCAATTTAGTGCACTGTTGTGGTTGTAAGCTTTTAAGTGATATTATTTTATACAATTTAGTGAATTTGGTAGCTTAGAACTTTAGAAGTTAAAACAATATTATTGTTATATTTTCAGGTTGAGTAAATTAAATTAACCAATATTTGTGGTAAGTTGTTATTATTTTGTAGTACTTTTATTATAATAATTTGTGTTGGGTACTTTGTTTTTTTTCTTCATAATAATATGAACTAATGAATACCTTTGTGGCTATGTTACATATTGAAGAGATATAATTATCTAATGTATGTATCATGTATGTATATTCTGTATGAAATGAAATTCAGAAAGATAACAAAAATGTTAAAAAATGTTTAAATACAAAAAAAGGTTCCAAAAATTAATTGTAAATACTTATACCCAATAAGTCAATAGAACATGTAAATAAAAATAAAAATATAAATTCATTACAGTCAAAAAAATCACAACAAATCTCAAATATTATTTGAATTTTGTTATTAAACATTGTATTAGTTGATTGATTTATCAATTAATTTAACAAAAAAAAACTTAGCAAGTATATTGCACACAGTATGGACAGACCACATAAAATGCAAACACAATTTTATTAGCTATGAAAATATATAAATATGTGTTAGCTAATTTAAAATTAATCATACTGATAAATAACAATAATAAAGGGTATTAGTTGACACTTGACTTTGGTATTAAACATATACAAATTAATAGAGAGCTACATTTTTTATGCAATTGCATATATTTTCATTTAATATTTTTGGGTTTTATCAGTAACCTTTACTAATTGTAATAGTTTGAACTCTTGAAGCCAATCACAAATTTTTTCTGTATATTACTGCAATTTCTGCATAATGTTGACAAAATTTAAAATGTATTATATACTACATGTTTTGCATATTAAAGCAAAAATAATAAAAAAAAAAGGGTAGTAAATAATATTTTGTTTAACATACAATTTAATTAGTAAGGCACTAAGTGATTATTAATTTTAATAATTTTAAATTATAAATTATTACATTTTAAATTATTTCTCGTTTATTAAATAGACACCTAAAATTATAATTATCTATAAGTTATTTAATTTGTTTCAAATTGTTTTTGAGTAGGTAATACATTTATAAACTTTTAAATTGTGTATTTTACCATATAACACAATTTAGAGATTTTTTTCTTGCATACCTATTTGTTGCATATTTTCATAATTTTGAGTGCAAAATATTATGTCATATTTTGACACTTTTTAGTGGATAAAAATCCGCGCTCTAAATATGAGTATAAAATGACAATTTACAATGATCGATAAAACATAATAATAATACGAATTACGACATGACATATCATTAAATAGGCGGCGATATACCGGGTCAAAACTAGTAAATGGACGGTCGCCGGTGTAGCGGTCATATTAATATTCATACACAGAAATCAGAATTATTATTATAATTATTAATAATATGATTCTTAATTGAATAATATTGCTACCGCGTAGTTGATGGGTAAACGGCTGTTCGGTACAACAGGCAGCCCCAAAACCAGCTCTTTCTCGCGCACGGATTATAAATGAGTGTAAAACAGAAAGATAACTTTATTATCTATGGGTAAGGCCAAGTCATTTCTTTATTATCTATAGTAATAATCCGCTGCGATCGACGTTATCACTGCCGCCGACGCCGTATCACCGTTGTCGTTACGAACAAAAACCATTAACTATTCTTTTTTGTATTCCGACATTAAATTTTTAAATCGTAGACGAAAATATTAAGCAAATCTAAGACTTAAATGCCTTCAGCTTACATAATAACGGATTCATTATTACATCTCTACAGCCGTCCGTGTACAGCAATAAACGAGTTACATATATTTTACTTCAGATTGATGACCAGTAAGTAAATTAGTTTTTTTGCTCACTGACACGGTTTCTAACTATTGTTATTTGTAAGTAGAAACGATTTATTACTCTAGAGTTAAGCAAACGTTATCAACACTCCAACTACCTATATGATAACCACTCTACAGTCCTTCCTAGTTTTTGTGACGAACGTGCTTTGGGTGTTGGTGGCAAGTGATACTTTGACAATTAATGGTGAGTAAGTATATCTTTATATTTTTTAATTATTATTTTGAATTACTTTTACGAATATAAAACTAGCACTTTTATGTGCTATTTACACATTTTGAAATACATATGTGTATTTACTATTCAACAGTAAGTATTTACAATCTTAATATTTTACTATTGTGTTTTTAGTTGTTTTCTGGAAGTTTGTCGATTGAAGTGATGGAGATGGACAAATACTATGTCCACACTATACAATTGACAAATACTACCTCTCAGTACCGTTGAGACTACATATACGGCAAAAACAATTCCAACACTTCATTCTTTTACCACAATGTTTTTCAGGGTCAGACATCAAAAAATGGTACATGTGTACCTACTTGTACTTGTTATACTAGGAATTTTAGTAGTATTGGGCGCAATGATTGCATACCACGCATTACTACGTGAACAGCATTTTCAAATTCAGGCAGCTGTAGCCAATTTGGCAAGTAGCGATAGTAATTACCAGCGTTTTGGTAAGTGTACATAAATCCATACCAGTATACTCATTACAATGTAATAGCCATAGGTGCTCATGACAAAATAGATATGTATGCCAGCAATTCTGTGATACGCATCTGGGTGTACCACCACATATTCCGTCTGCCTTCCACAAAAAAATCTGAGGCACTCGGGAAGTGCAGGGGTAAAGCTATTGCATAGCAATTTTGTAGCTATGTATCATGTATTTTTGTATGATATTAATTCAAGTTACACTTTTTAAGCGCGGAGACCAAATAGAAAAAAATAAGATCTTACGACTTGCGGTCACACTTTCGTTACAAAAAATATTTTTTCAGCCACCACGCCATAAAAGCTACGCAATAGCTTAAAAATTAAAATTAAATTGTTGCTGATATACACATCTATTTTGTCATAGTAATAGTGTGATTTTTCACAATTATATGAGTCACTATCAATCTGTGTGTACCACAGATTCATCTGCCTCACAATACCACAAAAACTCTGTCGTGATTCTAGAAGAACAAAAGCCTCTGGTAATCTACAATAGGGTGCCAAAAACCGGATCCACAAGTTTTGTCAATGTGGCCTATGATCTGCATTCTCATAATGCATTTCGTGTCCTTCATGTCAATGTTACGGGCAACTCGCATTTGCTTTCTATTTACGATCAGGTATTGATTTCAATGCGTCATCTTTATTCAAGATACTCTACTATAACTATCTCAAACTTAGTATTTAAATAACCAATTATTATCTCTTTCAGTTCCGGTTCGTTGATAATACTACACGTTGGATGCGGCCTGCATTTTATCATGGTCATTTTGCATATATTGATTTTGAGAGGTAATTATCGATTAATTTTAAAGTTATTTTCTAGGATATAAATATTATGTTATAGTTACACTTCTTGATTTTATTTTAAGATATGGGTACAAGAAGCCATATTATGTTCAATTGTTACGCAAACCTTTGGAGAGGTTGGTTTCATACTATTATTTCCTACGGTATGGTGATGATTATAGACCACATTTAGTGCGTAAAAAGCATATGGACTCATCGACAACATTTGATGAGTGCGTTGAGCGAGGTGGGTCAGATTGTCAAGCAAATCTTCTGTGGTTACAAATTCCTTTCCTGTGCGGTCAATCAGCCGATTGCTGGTTTGTATAATAATATTTTTCATTTATTATTCTCCATGTTTACTGTATTTTATAAATAATGCCATTTCATAGGATTCCAGGAAGTGAGTGGGCATTACGACAAGCTAAACGGAATGTTCTTGAAAAATATACTTTAGTTGGAGTCACAGAACAAATGGGACAATATTTACAAATGCTTGAACTTGTGATTCCTGGTGGGATGTTTCGCAATGCTTCTGAACACTTCAAACACAGTATGTATAGTGTATACATGGTCCATATTTTATTCAGCAAGTATGTAGTCTACCGCACATTTCTATAGGCATAATTAACAGTCCACCTCTCTCTACCACATGTTTTCTTTATTTAATGAAAATATCAATAAATACATAAATGTAGAAATAATAATAAAAAATATATAAATATTTAAATGTTATCTAGTAAAAAGTCATTCAATAATACACAAATATGTAAATAGCACGCTGTTATCCAATTATTTAATTGTAAATACAATAATTTATTTTTATTATTTCTTTTACATTATGAACATTACATGTATATAAAGTATCAAAATTATTTATAAGAAATAACTATCAAAAAATATTGGCAATATAATTAATTATATTTTGGCAAATATGATGTCAGTAAAAGAGGTGATGTATCATGAATTTCGTTTATAAATGTATGAAGTTGTAATGCACCCCATTAAATTTCTACATGAATACACAATTTTTTTTGAAAGCCAGTGTCCACTAGGAGGAGTATCAATGTTAATAAGTCTATTTTCCTTTAAAAACATGCAATTGAATTTTTCTCTGACTGAATAATAAAATTGAAATTGGCTAACAACTTAAATAAGGATTAAGTTTAATCATCACTGTTGCAAACTCTGTGGCAATTATTGCCTAGATGTGTGGTAGCCGGTAGGTGTTGTGCAGTAGACCACATACGACAAGAATACCTTTTATTCATTGTCTTTGATATATTAACTATTTTCAGTTCCATGTATTGTTGAACTTACTATATTATATAATAATTTATAGGTTCTAAGTCACATCTAAGAAAGACCGCTAAGAAATATCCTGTCTCTCGAAAGACCATACAAAAATTTCATGAATCTACAGTTTGGCAAATGGAAAATGAACTATATGCATTTGTTGTCAGAGAGTTTGCTTTTGCATATGCCAAACAGTTTCCAAACGTCTCATCAGGACTTTCTGGTACTATGAAAAAACATTTAAAAGTTAGTGACCTACCTCCACCTAGTTTCCGATATGAAAAAATATACCCAAAGCCATCACAACAGAAAAAGAAAAAAAATACTGCCCGTGTTTAACAAATTTTATTTTATGAGCTTTTACAAATGACTATACACAGTAGTACCCATGATGAAAATAAAGTACTACTTATTACTATTTTTTAATGTATTTATAATGTTATGTATATGTCTATTTTAAATCTGTCTTGTATATTATTATTAAACTATGTTTTCTACATTTTTATTGATGCCAAAAGTTATTATTTATAATGATTAATTTGTTTTAAATGTTATCTGTTAAACGGTTGTATTATTTTTGTGTGTATATAAATTTAACTTGACATCATGTAGTATAGTCAAACAGTTATTTTTATACTAGTAGAGAATAATAGTTATAGAACAACCAATATCGACTGAATTTTTAATATTTATTGTTTATTTATTTATACTTTTTATTATTTACACTCAATGTTCTTGAAGAGAAATAAAAATGGAGATTTAGATGTAAGACTTCAATGTTTATTTTTTTATATTACTTATGGATTGATTTTCATAAAAAAAAAGGAAAATATTATATAACGTATAAATTGTATTCAAAAATAAATCATAACTTATTTTAATTGCATTTAGAAATTCTTTTAATCAATCAGACTGATACAATAAGATTCAAAATATTATAACATTTAACATTATACCAATTAAACTAATACATTTAAACATATGTATATAGAGACAGTAGAACCTTGATAAGTTAAAAACCTTGGTGTATGATATGAATTTAACCTAATGTAGAACTAATGCCTATCACAGCATTTGTTAACAATGATAATATATTGCTATGGTTTTAAAATCTTTACCAACTTTTAACCATTAAATTAACTTAAAAAATACTATTAAATGCACAAGTATTATTAGGTAGTGATCACAGTAATGTGGTACTTTTACTTATAATGGCTTTGAGAGTTAGGGGAAGACGCATAGCATGTCACTAACTTAGAGACATACCATTTTAAAGTTACTAGTTTCTTAGTTTACAATTTTAAAGCTGTATTTTTTTGAGGGCTAAACAAGTCAGTATTTTACTAGAGCGATGGCAGACTATTAATCAAATATATTAATAGCAGTGATTTCTATTTTATTTTGTTGATATATTTCCCTATTGCCTACCCTCATGATATTAATTATATCGCCGCTGCTTCAGCAGCACTCATTAATAGTGATTAACTGATATTGTTATTTAGCAACATGCATTAATAGTGCAACTACTACAATTAGAAGTTCAAATAAGTTTAAAAAATATATATAACTGATTTCTGCTTCCATTTTAAGTCCCAGAATTACAAACACTATTTTGTAGGTCAAATATGAACAAAAATTAAATTAAGATTTAATCAAAACTTATTGTTCTTAATTGGTAACTACTTGAATGGTTAAATAAGTACACTAATTATTTGAATTTCATTATTTTAAATATTAAATGAGAAACGTTAAGAGTAGGAATCATTCCAATAAAATTAAGCAATAACTAATGTAACATAATGATAACGCACTTTTATAGTTAAGTCAACTTGTATGATGTATCTATTGAATGTATCTAAACAAATCGTTTGAATCATTCATTTAAGTGAATGTTTAAGTAGGTAGTGAACGGTTCCCACGGAGGCGGTTTTGAATTAGGTTCCTAGTTTTGGCGACGGGGTGACGGTTGTAGATACTCGCTCGGCCATCGCGATTAGAGCATATGCTCCTGCTACATTATATTCATTTGCTGTCAAGATCCTCCTTAAAAATATACCAAGCCAGTACAAGCCAATGGGTCGTGGAAATCCGGCGTAAGAGGCTTATATTTCCATGTTTTTAGGATAAATTTTAAATTATGATAGCAATTTATCGTCCAAAACTCCAAAGTTACATTGAATGCAAATTAAGGTGGTCGGTACCACTCTGCTGTTCGTTTTTTAAAAAATGTTTTCTTTGGTCGTGGATCAATTTTCTTTGGTTTAGTGATCATTTGGTTAAGTTAATTAAACTATCTACCTACAGTTATATTGTACACATAATGGCGCGTCCAGAAGTAGCGGCCTTCTAGTTTCTAGGATGCGGCACACAAGAGTGGCCATCATCGGCCTTTTGTCGCAAGGCAAATACGTGTCTTGACTATGCAGCATTTGTTTTTCAATAATATTGATAATGATTTTAAAAATTATTTAAATATTAAAACATTTATAAAAATAAGTACTGATGCCGCGTGGTTTTGCCGAAAATGCACCACACAAGCGCGTGATAACCGAGTGGCACAAGCCGCCTCTGACTTCCTTTGATGTGGACAGCCAAAAATTCAAAGAAGTCCGAAGAAAATGTAATTGTGCCGTCAAATTTGTTACACGCTCGTTCCCCAAAAGCTGCTTCGTATGGATGCGCATTTGAGAGACATAAGTTATAACTAGGGCGTGGATTTTAATGCCCTAAAAAAAACCTATAAATGCCTTAGAAAAAATGCAATTATGACCTAAGAAATTCAATTAATGACGTAAAAAAATGTACTAAAAATGTGAAAAATGATGTAAAAAAATTCACAACATTTTTTTTATTTTATTAAAATTTAATTAATGACATGAAAAAATAGAATATTTAGAAGATAGCAATAATAGAAATAGCTGATTAGAACGATATGTAGGTATAAAACTATATTTCGTTGAAAAACGGAAATTCTGTCCACTGACGGGACTATTAATAGTTTTATCATTTACCACAATTCATATATGAAACAGACGATAAAGTGTAGTTTTCAATAATTTAGTAAAAGAAAAAAAAAAATACTTGAAATTTTTTATTTCTCTCCAAAAATGCTACATTTTTCGAAAATATGAAAATAATAACTTTAATAGTAGCTAAAATGACCAAAAATGCATTAAAGAAGTTATAACGACAAAAAATGCAAAAAAATGCAAAATAAAAATTGAATTACATGAATCTACACCACTTGAAACGCATTTTTGCCAAACTGAGCATTGCGTAAGGATTTAGGAAAAAAAATGCATTTTGCATTGAAATCCGCGCCCTAGTTATAATTTATGAGTTATAGCAAAACACATACCTAATACTATTCATAATACTAAGATACAAAAAACAAAAAGTGACAACACCAATAACATAATTATTAAACCTTTTCCTATATGTATTACATATATGGTTATATGTATGTAGGTAAAGGTTTATATAGGTAGGCATTAAAACCTAATAACTATTATTATTTGTAATACTTATTTTTTACCATTAGTCTTAAATAGACAGTAGCCAAATAGACAAATAGACTATTATTTAGCAATATTTCATTTCAAAATGGTAAGAAATATATACTCTTCGATTTCGATAAATAATAATAACTTTAAGCTAAAACATTATACTAAATAAATAAATGTAACATCAAAAATAAACAATAAGCAATTATTCGATCTTAAAAGATAGCCATGAATCTTGATATCAATCAGCTGTCGAATAGTGTCGATTTTATAATGTTTTTTATTGCTATGGTGACACGGTGTTATGATTTTTAAAAATGAGAACGATTAGTGATTATCTATGTGCTATGTCACTATGAGTTGGGCCGTGGTTGGAGTTGTACTACAATTGGGCTGCACTAACAATTTGACTAGCCTTTAAAAAGGGTGGGATAAATGCCCCCGCCTGCCTTCTCTGTTTCTTGGACACCAGCGATGTTTAATCTGTAGGTGGTTGCCAGCTGATAATTTAGGGCCGCTTACACATACAATTAATTTAAATGCATGTACATAAGAAAAATATTTTTCAATGGTACAAAAAAAATTAAATTTTAAATTTGGGAGCCTCGGACCGTCAGTCCGAAAAAGTAACAGTAAAATTACTGATCTTGTTAATGATAGGTAGTATACCAGCATACTACCACGAACCAATGATTATAATTATTAATATATGTAGGTAGGTAAAATAGTATTAAAAATAAATTGTCCTATTACCTAAAGGTTAAAAATGGAAAAACATAATATTATAATTACTCATAAGTCAATAGCAGCTCCTATTGATAACAATTAAAAAAGTAAAAACATAATAGTGGTTGTTCACTTTTTTTTTTACCGAATTTCACAAAAAATATTGGTTGGTAACGAGGGACTAAAAATGAATGTATATTTTTCTACAATATGTTATGTCAACAAACAAACAAACAAAGGTGTATTTTTTCGTGCATAATATTGTTATACGTTTTTATGTACTAGTATATTTGATTGAAACCGTTATTTCACTTGTTCTTATATTTTGTTTTCAATAAATAATTAGTTGGAGTCAATCATTTTTATGTTTTGAGTGAGCTTTCTGTGTAATTACACTATACACAATGGCAAATAATATAATACCTCAGGAAGATAACACTAGCGAGATACTAAGGGCCGACATACTTAAATATGGTTACATAAACAAACGAAATAAACTCAGAAAAAATAAAACAAATGCTAATCCAGCTAAACGTCAAGAGTAAGAATAAAATATGTACACTATTTAGTATTTACTTTATATTATAATTTAATACTAGCATGCATCTTGAATACCTAGCAAATATTTTTATTTGATGAACTCGAAATTAAAAGTTGATGGAAAGTTTAAGTAAACAACCATTCTGGATTGTATGCAGCCATCTATAACGATGTTGAATTATACTTATATTGTGTAGGTTACATATAGCCATATAGGTATAACAATAGTAAAAACTAATGAAAATATTATAAAGTAAATTATTTAATTAAAACTTTATGTACTTATAGCCTATAGGTAGTAATAACTAATATTAAATATAGGTAAGTGACGTAACGAAATAATACTATTTATTTCTGTCACTGCACTTAAATGATAAAACATTTGACTAAAAGATTACCTATTACAGTATTAGCTATAGGTAAGGCATATTCGTTTATATGTAGATAGCTAATAGCTTTTTTCAGTTATTTATAATGATTATCAGGGCAGGATTTAGTTAGAGTTGGCTGAGTGGAATGCAGCTCAGGGGCCACCACAATATTTTCTTATTCTACCTACTATTTTACACGTTAACAAAAATAAAGGTACCTAATTTAAACAATGCTGGATACATATTAAAGTAATTATTAGAATATATCATATTATCATCCTAATATCCTATATTATAAGAAAATGTCATATTTGTGAGCATGTTATTCGACCAAAATGGGGATTTATGATAATCATTATTTATTAGGTAGTTACCTATTAGTGTTATTACCGATATTCTTATTCTTATACTCTTGAAACCTAATCATAGAAAGCAAACAAAAGTATTGGTGAACTTATTATACAATACACCTAGGTAATAGGTACAGGCCTAAAACCCCTTTTTGTAACATCAAACATTGGTGTCGTATTGAAGAATTCAATATTTAGTGTACATTTTCTATAGTTCATATTTTGACTTTTTAATTTTATTATTTATCGTAATCTATTAACTAATGGTTATTACTTATTAACGAATTTCAATAAGTGTTGTGTAAAAGCACATAAAAAAAACTTTCATAAAGGTTTTTAATACTTAATAAATGAATATGCTTTTCACATAACAAAATACTGTTAATGATAGCTCCACTTATAATATTAGGAATATATCTAGTAAATTATACCTATGCGTTTATACAACAATTATTGTGATGGCCTCGGGACTGCGGATTGGTAATTAATTATTCCTTAAAATTAGTTCAAATGCAATTTAAAATTTAAATATAAACAAGTTACTAAAATATACCCATATGCCTATTCTTATTCCTAACCAGTGTATTTTAGGTATAATATTTAAGGTAAATGGTAAAGATACACAAGCTAAACAAAGTTATACAACGTACATTTTATCGGATATACCTACTCTTATGTCTGTTATAGTTTTTTCATTATTTTAATCCCTTTCTTCGACACTTTTATTTAGAAATAATTTTAAAGTATATCTTGTTATAAAATCGATCGAACAATATAGATAGTAATTACTGATTGGGTTAACCTATTCTTTCCTACGGTATTTATATTGGTAACTCTATTCTTGGTATACCTATATTTAACTCACTTTCACAAATAGTATATAAATTAAAAAATGTATGCGGAAAAAGACCATAACAGCGTTAATTAGTCTACAAACCACCACATTTTGTATGTTCTTATACGGCTATACGCCAATACATAACTATAATATTATAGACGACATTATGTTAAAATAAATTTTTTGCACTCTTATTTAGGGCCCCAAAAACGTTTTCGCCCGGGGCCACCACATACTTAAATCCAGCTCTGATGGTTATTGACGTTGGAATGTGTGGTTGCGTAGATGGGCCATTAGGTTCTTGGAAGAAGAACGCAATAACTTGACGGTTGATTTGAATGCTATGGAGTCCAAAGAAAAGTCAAAGGTAGACGAGAAGTACAGGGCAAAGTTTATAAGTTTAATTCACCAGACTAAACAGGCCAAAATCGACCTGAATGAACAGAGGAAAATTGAAGAGCAGGTGAACAAAGAGATAGTCCTATTAGAGGCTGAACTGGAAAAACTTACAATCAAAAATAGAATGGCAAATGTCGACGTTCCGACTTTGACAACTGTATGAATACATAATTAAATTCTATAATAATAGGAATTAGTTTTTTTTTTTGTAAACACTGTTGGGTTGTTTAATAGTGAATACTTAATTTTTTTTGTAGAATACTGTAAATTATGAATACAATAGGCTAATTGAAGAACAAAACCAACTGAAAATACAAGTGGAAAACTTACTTAAACGATGGCAACAAATACAAAACATTTATAATTCACACATGAAAAAGTTAAACAAAGGAAAAGAAATAGCATCAATTCTTTCCGAACAAGTAGCAAGGACCTACACATACAGGTATACCTAATGCTGATGGTATTACATGAGGGACACTTGAACAGAAAATATTTATTATAAATAATTATCTCTATTTAATTCATAATAGTTATTATTACCATATTATTTTATATACCTAATCATTTAGATAGTCAGCCAGTCAGGTAAATGTTACATTAATGGCTGATACTATAATACCTTACTGTAGAACGTGTAAATAGTGGTAACCAAATATTTTAAAAATTTTATCTCTAGAAATATTATTTTTTTGAGAAAAAAATGTCAACAAATTTAAAAACGAACTTGAAAAAAATTCATACATGCTTATATGTTTATGAGATTTTTTGGTGCTGTAATTCAACAAAAAATTGCAAATGTTTATGATCTTGACGAATTTAATGAAAAGTTGATCAAACGCTTATTAAAATATTTGTCCATTTGTCGAATTGCTAATGTCTTTTCAATACTTTCAAATTGCTGCAAGAATAGTTTATAATAGATCTTACCTATACAAAAAATATTAAAAATATTTTTAATTGTTTAAATATTTTGAAAATTCCATTAAGATTCTATGATAAATATTTTTAAGTTACAACAGGATAATTAAAATTGTTTAGAGTCTTTAGGAGACCGTTAATTTACGTTCGTAAATACTACATTTTGTCACAATGATTAACGACATAACTTTGAACATTGATAAAAAATGAATAAACCTTTATGCTCTTGACTTCTTAAGTTAACTTAATGAGATGTTTTATAGATAACACAAAGTATAAATACTATAAATATTCAATTTAAACCTTTAAGCCCAGGTTGGAATCTGTAGTACTAATGCCTAATAGTAAAATAACTTAAGTAAATAGTTATTAATTAAATTGAATCGTAATAATATCATACAATATTCAAAGTATTTAGTAATATATCATAGGCAGACCGCAGACATACTGTCTTTGCTCAGAATCATTTTTGGTTTACAATGATTTTATACAATTGAATTCAAATCCAACACATCCATTACAGTGATTTCTCTAGACACCTAATGTACAGCAGAGCGTTACCAACATGGTTAGGTTTTTTTAGTTTGTTCTGATTGTCGTCCGAGGAGGAGATCTTAATGTCTCTAATACATTTGCGTGCAGTCTAATTGTCATCTCGTCTGTAGTATTATTATTCCAGGGAGTGGTAAATCGAATCTTAAATAACTCGACGAATATTGGGGCTAAGTAAATTGAGCTTGAATAATAATATAATTTAATTTATTGATATTTTTTAAAATATTTATTATACTGTTACCGGGTCATATTTTCAACGGAGATAATAAATGCATTAATACTTGATTCAGAAATGAAGCTAAGGAACGATTGGAGACATATTTAAAAACAAGTAACACTCAAACTGGTGATTATGAAAACCGTTTAGTGTCACTCAAACGGCAGGTGAACGAAGATTTAAGAATGACAACATTTCTTTCACAAAAGCGTATGTATTGGAAATGTATAGATTTAAAAAGCAACTTTCAAGTTTAGTTACTATATAGTCATATAGATAAGAGTACGGATTTATGCATAGGTATTAGGCATATGACATTTGGTTGAAACATACAATTACAATTGTGAATGAGATTATGTGATACAGGTAAAGTGGAATTTAAGTCAAATTTTCGATAGCTCGAAGGACTGCAGTCTTGGCCCCCGATTTTCAATACGTGCATACGATTTTTTATAACTAGAATTTTTTTCCCTTTCCGACCGATTCGAGTTATTGAAGTTTTACTGTATGTTTGTTCAATTGTTCCTATTATATTAATATATTATTATTTATTATGTAATACATGCAACGGCTGTATGTATACCTCAAATTAGGTAGTAGTTGAAACTACAAATTAAATTGAGTAGGTATACGATATACCTAAAAGTTTTTTGTTTTCAAATTAAATGTTTCATTTAATATTTTTTTCAAGGATAGGCATTTACGAGTTAAAAATTAAAATGAAGTTAAAATTCTTAAAAAATCGTTAATTTGCCCAGCCTTGGTTTTTTTACTGTCGAAGTGTCGACTCCAACCAAAAGTCACGCAATATAATTTTTAAAAATCAATGAAATAATCATAAATGTGTTTTAATAAGATACTGTTATTTTTTATTTTTAAACATATTTTTAGTAAAATTAAGACATAGTAAACAAACTGAAGAACCCCAAGTTGATAATACAGAAATGTTAGCATTGAATGTTGAAGCAGAAACATTTATTAAACATTTAATTCACATTGCTGATGAAAAAAACTTAGAAAAAATTATGGATCAAATTGTTAAAATGGACCTTGATAATAAATGTATGTTTAGGTTTTTGATGGAGATAGAATCATACGTAAGTAATATGTATGTACCTATATGTGTTTAATATTTAACTATTATAACATAAATTATATAACATACAAAATATTATACAAGTATAGGTATTATATACATTCTATTTATATTTTGTTTAAAATTATTTTTACTTCAATTAAACCAGGAGAAGAATTATGATTATTAAACATTTAAAACAAATGTATGCATTGATGTTGAATGGTTAGGTAGGTATGTATTGTGTCATGAAATTCTAATTGCGAACAGATTTTCTCATATCTTGCATATTTTATAAATAATAAAATATTTTTAAAAAATCATTAATATATTTTATGGTAAATTATGTGTATTTAACTATTTAACGGTTTCTAAGTCATCATATGATATTATCATAGATCCTAGTTTTTTCGGTTGTATAATATATTTTGGGTTTTTTATCAGTATAATTTATTTATGGTGGTAGCAATATCGATTTATCTGTTTTAAGTTAAATTTCACAGTGATATACGTTAGCTTAACCTAGGTCCATCGGAGTTGATGTAATTGATGATTTTTGAAAGTATTTATAGTTTATATTAATTTTAAGAGTTGTATCGTTGTTCGTTATTTAGTTCATTAGAAATCTATATTGTTGTACAATGTACTTTGGTTGTCGGTTGTTTCGTATTTATTAGCGATAGTTGCATTAATTAAGTTAATTTGGTTTAGTTCATGTCGTCTATTATCATATTGTATGCTTCATTTATCAACAATTGCAATTGATTTCTTTTGGGAAATTGTATTAAGAGGACGTGATACCCGTATGTGTTGTCTCCGTCTTACAAGTGCGTACCATAGCAAATTTTACGCTCGGCAGAACACGTGTAGCTCCGTTAGTTTAAAAATGAGTGCGAATTGACCTCTTATAAAATCTAAAGGTAAGATTATTATCTAGTCAACCTCATAGGTTTTTTATTATATTTTTATCTTAACGCGAGTTATGAGTATTTTAAGATGTATAAAAATTAATTTAACTTTATGTTTATCGTGGTGGGTTGTACTTACAATGCATTATGTTACTTAGATTTTTGAATTATTATTTCCATCAATTTTGTACCATATTTGTACATTGTATAGTTTTATTTTCAATTTTCATATATTTATTTTTAAAACCGATTATTAAGTTGTATTTAAAACATTAAAATCGTTTCCTAATAGTAATTTCTAATTAAGTCCTTTTATCACGTTTACCTTGATTGATATAGAAATTTCTTAGTTTTAATTATTGATTCTGTCGTTCCTATTTGTACTACTTCATTATTACCCTCACCTTTTATTATTATTTTGTTATTTGGGCTTAATGTGTTGTTTATTTTTGATTAGAGAATAATCTATGTATGATATATTTGACGATTTGAGCCTCTGTCTATTATTGCATATTTTTCGTTACTGTTCTACTTTTATTGAGAATATTTTTTATTTTCGTTCTATACATTTGAATTATACTTTAAGTATGGGTGTTGATTTTAATTTTATTTTTGTGTTGAGTTAGTCGGCTTGTCATTTCTCTCCATATTTTTGTATAGATCGGTTGCGACATTTTCTTATATAATTCCTGCAGATTTCACAGAACATTATGTCTCCCCCACACTCCAAGACTGTTCTCACGGTCGTCTAGAGTACTCTGGGCCTTAAACAAATATTCCCAATCTTGGTGAAATTGTGAGTACCATATTGTGGGTTTATCATTTTTTAGATTGTTGTAGGCATTATCTTTTGTTATAAGATTTTGCTAGGATAATACATTTTAAACGATCAAAACATTTGTATGGAAAATGGTCTATGTTTTTTTTTTCAATAGTAATCAAAGTCGGAGAAAACATTATTGATAATTATGTTTTTGAATGAACTTGGGTAATCAGTTTATTTAATAATACCTGACTTCCAATGACAATTTGTATTGAATATCCCTACACTTTATCTATTTAATTCCCAGTAGCAAATGATGATATTTGTGTGTTCAGAATTTTCATGCATTATAGCCTATATAAGTTTAAATTAAATTGGACACATATAAACGGGTAGATTGTCATTATTAAGATAGTAGACAGATTTAAAATTAGGAATAAGTGAGAATATTTAATATTTCTACCGCTTTTTTAAATATGCGATGTCGTTATACTTATAGGTAGTTACAGTCACCACAATCTCCGTTTCTGTGTACGTCTCTGTTTTTATGAACGAATCAACGATAAGTGCGGTTTCGTTTTTTAATTCATCATTGATCGTATTATTAAAATTCCTAATTAACATGATATTTAGAGTTTGTAAATCATTGTCTTTAAGATATTTAGTTTGGTTTTCGTCTTCATTCTCTGATAATACTTGGACAATGGACATAATATAATATTTACTGGTAAATGTTTAAAAACTTAGTCTAGGTGGACATAACGTTCCATTCTTTTTATCTTGTTTAGTGCACATTTTTGGATGTGCTAATGTACCTGATTATTTTATTTTCTTTAGAAAATTGTTTAGTGTTACCTAGTTGATATTCTAAAAATGTTTTCTTGGAATTTCACTGGTTTTTAAGTTTATAATTTTTTAAGAATGATTATTGAATTAGAATTAATGAAGTTGACTAAAAAAAAAAAATATTTAAAATACTAATACCTATGCAATTATTTGAAACAAAATGTATTGTTTTTTTTTTCTGAATTCCGAAAGCATCGGAAAAATAGGGTCAAAACTGTTGAGTACAAAGATCGCAATATTATGAAGAAACGATCTATAGTAATGTAAAGCTTAGCATCTTTTGAAAGGCGAGCTCAGAGAAATCATTATACATAATACACACAATTAACACAAATATGCATGTATTATATAGGTTACATAGGTACATAATATTGATTACGTTGTATAGTGTTCTTGGGGTATTTACAATATATTAGGTTAAGTCAATGTATTTATTTTCATAAGACAGTATTCGTAGAAAAATATGATTTAATTAAATTGCAATAATACAATATTTGAACTAAATTATATATCGCCTGCCCACATAAATGTGTAATTTAGATTTTCCAAATATCTTATCCCTACAGCGACCTTTTACTAATGTGGGACTTAAAGATTGATATTTTTTACATTTATTCATATGTCAACATTCTAGTCTTATTTTCGGTGATAAAAATAGACTCATCGGTACTTAATCATTTTTTGGTGTGCATATGCGATAACATTTTGTCTACGCTTTATACCAGAAATATCTGAATTGCAGCGATTGAAAGTTTATAATTATAAAGGTTTTATTTTAAAACTAAAATTTCCAGTTAAGTCTATGAAATTGAATTAAAAATACATGTAAAATATTGATTCATACAACATAATATAAATATAATTTTTTTATACAGATAACTCTGCGCTCGCCTGTTTTTATGTAGATCGTTTCTTTATTTAGGCGGTTTTCAAACAGGGGTCTCAAAAAATTTATATTCTTTTTTAAAATGTTTCTTCGGTTTTCCATGAGGATTTAAAGTATCAAAAACATTGATATCCATTATAAGTCAATATAGTTTAATGTCGATTACATAATTCGTATTATAATTATAATATGTACAACAATTCTCTACGGTAAAAGTATTTATGAATAAGAAAATTAAAATATTTATAATATATTGTGAAATGTACAATATGTTGACTGTGGGGATTCGTTTAAAAAAAAGTTAGTGTTCTATGCTGAATAATAAAGCATTAGGGTAAATATAGTTAAAATTAAAAAAAAACTTAACGTGAAGATTTTGACACGGGCTTGTTTTCATTTGTATATTACAGTATCTATAGAGGCAGTAAATACTTGGTTCCATACAAAATTAATGCTAATAACTATTATTGAGAAGATAAAAATGTATATAATTTTTTATGATTATTAGCATTGTGAGTACTAAATATTATGACTTAGGTATGAGTCGATATTTTCTTTTCACAACACAAAGCAAACTGATAAAAAAGCTGTAGTCAAAATTTGAAAGTGATCATGATTTAGAACTAATTATGATTTATAAAGCATAACTGCATAAGATAATTCTTGACTTTTAATTTATGTTGGGTGAGTATTAGAAATGGAAATGTATTAAGTAGGCTCGTCGCTCGTGGTTCAGTTTATTATGTAAGTTAAGCCATGCGTTTGTGTGACAACGGATATATTGTGTAACACATACTATAATGTTTAAACATTATGGAGATGCGTTTCGTCCATTTTGAATACTCCGTGGTATCATACCTACCAGTCCATTATTTTTTTTATTTATTACATTTTATTATTGATGACTTTTTTTTTGTCATATAATTGAATGTGTCGTATCGATTTGTCCATATTTTTATTAGATTTGGGATAGCTTACCTTAGTTTTCAAAAGTTCAGTATAAACACTATTCATTTTCTGTGTTCATTTTAAATTTCTTGAAAATTTAGTTGAGCAAAATAAAAAATGAGGCTAGGTGTATAGGTAAATGAAATAGGTTTCAGAATTTTCATTTGTTAAATTGATCAATCGATAATAAATCCAGTTCAAACTTTGTATGCGTTGCAAAATTGCACGTGTTTAGGACAGTGGCGGAAAATCTTCACTTCCAATACCCTCATGTTTTTATATGGTCCATGATTGGAGGTGATTGGGTCCTGTACACACTGCACAAATGTTTCCCGGTGGTTATAGAAACACCCAACTTTGCTTGATAAGGTGTAAAAAGAATTTGTTTAATACTTACGAGGAAAATGTGTGAGCTTAGACGAGTATATTACTTAAAATAATTTGTGAAAAAACCGTAATACCTAGGGATTTCGGGATTTTATTTTTAAATAGACTACTAATATCTATTGCAGAGAATAACCTAATAATTTGCCATTGACACATAGCGAACAATATCGATGATTATAATAATAATAATAATAATAATAATTTTTTTTTATAATTATTATAATATTATTAATAATAATAATAATAACAATAATAATCGTGTAATTCGGTCGTGCAGTTGACGAACGCTGAAAAAACGATCGAAGAGACGCGCATCATCGTGTCGGACAGAAAGCGCGAGCTTTGCGAAACGCAGGCGGCGAAAACGGACGAGTTCGCGAGCGCCATGAAGACGTTGAAATCCGGTCGTACGTCATTGCGGGAGGCGCGCAGGACGTTGCGTCTGATGGCGGACGAATGGCGGCAGACGTGCCGTACGGTTGACGACGCGTGCAAATTGATGATGGGCAGGGACAGCCGGCGGCCGTCGTACAGTCTCCTAGTGCGCGACGACGGCCGCGACGGCCAACGAGGGTGTGAAGACGACGACGAACACTGCAGAGGAGGAGAAGAAGAAGGGGAAGACGAAGAAGACGGCGAAGACGAAGCCGAAGACGAAGCCGAAGCCAACGAAAGCGACGACCACGATGGCGGCCGCCGTCAGCACCGCCGGCGCGGCCGCCACCGACGTCGCCGCCGTCGTGGACGTCCGCGCGGCGGCCGACTATCGCCAACGGCCATAGTGACAGAGGTGGTTGAGTATTTCGAGCCGATCGACAGGCGGCTGGACGACGTACTGCAACGGGTGTTCTGGATCCAAAACAACTATGTTGGTGGAGACAGCGGACCGAGAGAGCAGCTTGAGGTGCCCGCCGGTGAATCGATGTCCACCACGTCCGATCAGGAAGACGAGTTCTTAGCACGTGATCTGGACGGAACAGTGAACAGGCACTCGAAAATCATTGCCGCCCTAGATCCGACCACTGTGACAGTCGACAACGAAGCACCGCCGCCGCCGGACGGTGGTCAAGTGTCTTCACTCTGTCCGAGGTGAGTATTTATTTATATCCTGAGAATAATTATTGTTGCGTTAAACCTGCAGCGGGCAAACTACATTTTTTTAATTCGGCTTTTAAGACAACTGCTGTAGTGTGGAGCAGTCTGCGAGCGAGATTCACAGTTTCGTTTTTGACAGACCTGATACCTTTGACAAATAACAATAAATAGCAGCCACTCTGTAATTATAATTATTATTTTAGGACTCGCATAATATGTTTTGGCTGGGAAAGTTAACTATTTTTTTTTTCAACGCGTTAAGTTAATGTAATGTATAGTAGTTAATATTCTTTATATTAAAATTAATTTTTACAAAATAAGATGAGCTGAAGAAATAACTTAATGAGACGGTAAAATTAATTACTTCACAACATGGAAAAAATTAAACTCTTCAAGTTAGAAATCACTACTAAAAAAACTTATTTTGTAACTTTTGAACTCTTTAATAACCGGCATCGGCGATTTGGTACTTAATTACAGGGCGTTGACACATACTATTTTCATTTTTCTAACGAGTTTACCTAATAGTATAGTATTACAATATTCTTATCCCTATAGTTTTCTTATGATATAATAATATTTTCATCATAAAAAGTACAAATAACCACTTCATACAATTTTAAGACGACAACACTCAGACCCTTTTTCGTACTTGGGCCCACTGTCATACCATCGTTATTCGTTGACCCTACCTGCGATATGCGCACCAAATGAATAATTTGGTTCCGTTACAGGTGTTTAGAAAAACGTTACGAAGAAGAAAATCAATGGGTGTTGAGATATATCGATAAGTTCCAGGGTGACAGCGTTGCACCACCGACCGCATCACTTGTATGCCAAAATAAAAATGTCAGTTTCAAAGACATCGATGACGAAGAGTTCAAGAAATACTTTCACCGAACTTTAGATTGTCCTCTTTATACAGCTGAAAAGTTCCACGCGAAGTGACACTACGTTGAACATATTATCACTTGATGTCCATGTAATGCGCTGTTGTTATCGTGTTTATTAATGTTGTGTTTTTTTCCCTTTCAATACTACCGTGTCTTAGAAGTATTTATTTTTCAAACATTAATCCAATTTCGAAAGTATTATGCTTGTAAATAAATTTAGTTCGGAATCGATTATTTATTCGTAGTGTTATCTACCTAAACTTACTTGGGTAAGTTGTACAAAACAATTAATAATTTGTATGGAATATATTTATGCAAGGGTGCCTATACTACCTACTGGATAGTTTAGATAGATACTTAATGTTGGTTATAAAAAAAAGTAATGTACTTAGTTTAAGATTTAAAAATTAAAATACAGTAGAATGCAGGTATATATTTATTTATAATATTGGTTACGATAATTTAGTAACTAATTATTTGTTAAGCGTAAAAGAACTTTCTTAAGTTTTGCTGGATATATTTAGCAACAATTTCATGTCCATCGAGAGTGTTAAAAATATATTTCTCTATATTGTACATTGCTATATTCAAAAAGTATAGGTTCTTAATTAAGTGTAAATATATAAATAATATAATATTTGGATATTATAAAGATATTAAAGTTTCAAATTATAAAACGTTAAAGTACAGTTAAAAAGTTTAAAAAATGAAGTGCCTTTTTAATTCTAGTTAATTACTACCTTTAAGTATATCTGCTGTTTATCTTTCAACTTTAGATAGTAACTCGTACCTATAAAATTATAACAAGAATATTACATACCGTGCTCACGAGGTAGTCAAGGTACCATTATAGTTATAACTATACTATGTGAACATTGTGACTGTTTTTTTATATATAGGTATACGATTAGGTCATGGTTTGAAGCTGGAGAGGGGCATTGCCCAGTCTCGATGCCTCACGCTTTTTACAAAGATTTGGGGCTTCGTGTTTGAAAAAAATTAGGAATATTGGAATCAAAAATTATATTATTTCATGGGATTTGAAATCTTATGTTTCAAAAGGAAATAACCAAGAAGTTTCTTTGAAATTGTGTTGCGATATAGTGACTTTTAGGTCGGACTTATAATAACAGGGCTACACAGTAGGACAAAGCAAACAAAAAAAGTGTAACAAAATGATATGCGTCATACCTATACTTCGGAAAATATATTTCTTCAAAAAAAGTTTTGTTCCATTTTTATCCAAACGTTTTTTTGGACTAAAATCATATCCATTTTCTCTAACACTGATATTATATACGTACATACGTTTGTTAAATTGTTTATGAGTTATCACCGATTATGTATATGATTACATACAGACTTGAAAATAAAACAGACACACGAATGTTCGATATCTCGAACTGTATTATACTCAATGGCTGCATCCGAATTGCATACAAAAAAAAAAACGTCCAAATTGCATGTGGTCTCTTGGAGAGATCTGCCCGAATTGCATTCCGTGAACCACATCCTGTTTATTCATCATGCATAAAATATTTTTATATTTGAGAAAAATATTTCCCCAAATTGTATCTATATTTTAGTAGTGTAGTGTATTATGGTCTGTTTCACAGACATACGTATCGGTCATTTAAGTGTTTGTAGCTCAAATTTATAAGCATTACTATACATTGATCTGAAATAATTATGATAAGAAACGTAGAGCTACGTACTACGGCTATAAATAATAGTAATAATAATAATATTATTTAGATCAAATAGAGATATCACCTGCGTATTTTTCTATGTCTTATAATATTAGTACGTCTTGGAACGTAAACGTTAACTTGTCTGTAGTGTGATCTTGGAACCACAAGTTGAAATATATATATGACATATGTTGAGTGAAAAAAACAAAAAACTTTTTGTAATTGATGAGTTTAAATTTTATTTTCAAAAGTTATTGTGCAATGCTATTGAAAGGTGGGCTTGTTGTAAACGTTAGTGTACGGCTTACATAAAATTATTGTATATAAACGGTGAACAGAAAGTTATATTTCGCAAGATATATCACAACAAAGATGATAAACAAAAATTAAATAGACAACGGGTACGTAATGATTTAAAACGTAAAGGTCTAGATGATCCTTTTGAAAAACCAAGTAAAATATTGCATCGTGAGCTATTAAAGGGAGTTATTACTGATATTAGTACATGAACAACAGATGACACTACACGTCAGTACACGAGTTCGAAAAATGTACATTATGCCTGATCAAGCATTTATCCTAAACTGCCAGAAACTTTGATTAATTTACATACAGCTTTAGATAATTTATACATTAAAACTAATAGACATGACGATTTTTATTTATTAATAATCATGATAAAAATATTGTGGCATTTGCAACACACGCAAATTTAAAATATTTTAGTGAGTGTTTGTTTGTTGACGGTACATTTAAAAGTTTCCCTAAAATGTTTTACCTATTTTTTACAATTCACGGTGTTAAAAATCATAACTATACGCCACTAATTTTTTTTTGCTAACTGGTATCAAAAATCAAATTTATGAAGATGCTTTGTCTAATTTATTAATGAAGATGAACTATTTGAACTTAAATTCATCACCAAAAATAATTTACGCTGACTTTAAAGTAGCTATTCATTCTGCATTTCTAGTTGTTTTTCCAAATACAATAAGAAAAGAATGTCGTTTTCACTTAGAGCAGAGCATATGGAGAAAAATACAATCAGAAGATTTGTGCACAAATTTAAAAAAAAAAACAGAAATCGAAATATTTTTAAAATTATTTTTTGGACTGTCCTTTTTAAATCCAAATGATGTAGACGACTGTTCCACAAACGAAATCGTGGCAATTCAACCCACACATGGACGTATACATGAATTTTGTGACTAATTCTTAGAAACTTATGTGATGGCTAACAGTTTATTTCCACCATCTATTTGAGCTGAATTTTCTAATTCTACAATACGTAAACTAAAGTTTGTGAATCATTCAATTCCAAACTGAATAGCATGTCTTACTCTCCAAGTCCTTATATATTTCAATTAGTTGATTTCTTAAATAGCAATTACAATGTGATATATATGTAAAAATGCGCAGTTTAAATTTAAATAAAAGACGTCGGGAAATATTAGCAAAAGAAAAAAGTATAAGCTTTGTAATGACGGAATTTGAAAATAATGAAATTAATAGACTTGTACATGTAGAAAAAATGGCATACAAGGTGTTGCCCACAGCAAAATAAATAAAGGAATACTTTTCCAAATGTCTAATATAATATATATGACGTTAAATATGACTATGCCTATACTATATAGACAATTATATTATTATAATATTATTATCTAATATTATTAATTATTATTATTGTTTTTTAATTTATTATTATATAATATATTGTAACATTTTTCATTGACAATAGTTTCAAACATTACTTACTATATCTATTTCTATATTATTATTCAAAAAAAGATGATTCCGGTATGAATATTATTATTATTAATATGAACTATCACGTCTTTATTATTTTATTATTATTTATTTATATGTAATATTCTATGCCGAGATATATTCGCTTACATGCATTCACTACAATAGTTGTATACTTTATTGTAATGTAACAAAAGCTCGTTCATTCAAGAGTAAGTTATTTAGTTGGTATGCAATTCGGATAGATCCCTCAAAGAAACGGCATGCAATTTGGACATTTCAATTTATATGTTTTTTTTCAGATGCACCGTACTTCATTTACGAGATGTAACAGAATTACCTGACAAATGAAATAACTTTTGTTCTAATCAATCCTCAAAATTTAAACATTTTTTTTTTTATCTTTATAATTTATAGACACTTGCGCTTCATGTATAGTATACCTACATATATTTTTTTTTTGAAAATAGACAATCTAATTTTTAGGAAAAAATTTGACGGTAAACACTTTTATTTGTCAAGTAGCTTATATTTTATTTTTTTTCGAATTTACAAAAAAAAAATTAATAAATTTCTTCAAAATTTAAAATTCCAAAAAATCCATTTTTTAATGTTATATATTTGCACCAAAAGAAATTTAAAATATTTAAAAAAACTTATGGTATTTCAAATATGGCAAAAAAAACCGTTCATTTTGACATTTTATTGAACTGAAAAATATATTCGAAAATAACTGCCGATATTAATAAATATCTACATTCAATAATATTGAGTTTTATATTCAATATTATTATTAAAATACACAGCTTATGAAAGAAAAAGATCAATTTTTTTAGAAAATGTATAAAATGTGCAAAATATGAGTATAAAAATCAATAAATATGCACTTTTCCTCTAAAATTGATGAACATTTTCAATTTTTAAACTCACCTATGTAAAGTTCAGATTTCTAACTTGGTTTGCTATAAATTGAGAGTATATAGAATAATACTCAACTCCTACAACTACTGAGCTCTAAATTATAAGATATATTCCAGATAGTATAGCCTTATTAAAACTAATAATATATAAAAGCATTAATATAGTTTTTCATGCATGTATAAGGATTCTATTTGTAAGTTTACCATAAAAAAAGAGGAATTGTCTTTTATATTCATAATGTTTTCTTTGATTTCTTTTAAAGTACTAGGGTTAAGAAGATCAAGTCACTTTTATCATATTTCTCATGTGTAATATAGGTATCATGATAAAATAACTGTAATCATTAGATTTTTTTTTGTTTGTGATACTGTTTCCATTGTTTCCAACATTGCTAAAGAATATGATATTGGGACTTATTAAATTAAACTGTAATTTTTTGTTTATTAGTAATTCTATTATTATCATCATTATTTTTAATACAATTAATAGGTTTAGAGTCACAAGAAAACAAATTGCTCACATCTTTGATTAGAGTCCAGACTTTTTTTTATCCTCATTATAGTATAGTAGTTCTTTCTAAAAATACATATTTTTTTCCCCACAAATTAAATATTGTAATAAATTCCTGTACTTAATGTAATAAATATTATATTTTATATCAAATAGATTATTAAGTTTTTTAGAATTTATCTTTCGTTTATGTCTAATGATTAATGATTAGACTGTAATTGATGTAATAATACCCCTGGATATCCATTTTTGAAATTGAGATGTATGTATATGTTTAGAAAGCATTACAAATTAATATTTTTAATTTGCTATTAAATATGTCGAGTGAGGTATTAACATTATTTTCATTCATCAAATCTGACCTATTTGCGTTTAAAAATAAATTACTTATAAGTTTAAACTTCAATACATTTTTCAATTATAAATCAATAACAGTATTAGGGTTTTTAATTTTTATCTAAGGGAAGTTAAGTGGAACCTACCATTGTACAACTTATTATATTAATCAAAACAAATAAAGGTAAATGGTCACTTAGAGAGAATATAAAACACTTGATTTTAGGTTATTGCAATTAACACTTTTGACGAAAATATCATCAATAGACTTTTTATGATGATCGATTATTCATGTATAATCAATAATGCAAGGAGTATACTGGCCAGAGATGTCAAATTTTTAATAAAATGACCTGTTTTTTTAAAAATTTTTTCACGCGGTATTTTAAATTATGAAATATTTATCTATATGTAAATAATCAAAAATGATGGTCTTATTATTTTTTATTAAAATTAAAATTAAATATAATATTATAATAAGTATTTTAATATGTTGAGTGCCCTCAAAATTTTTTTGTGTCCCATTGATTTGCTATTCCTGATATAGTTAGTGTGCTATAACATTAAGATAATTTAGTGAGTTCAAATTGTTGCTATTAATATCTATATAAGTATCTCCTTTGATTATGTAAATATCATTTACATTACGTAATTCTAAATACCATTGTAAGCTGTTATCAAAATCAATTAGATTAATACTAGATCGGTAAATTCTTGTGCAATAATAAATTGTACTTTTAAATTCAAACTTAATTTCAAAATATTTACAGTTAGTTATACAGTGTTATCTATTATTAAATTTATTTCTAATAAATACAGAAACACAGAATTGTTTGGATTGCTGTAGTAATTTTGGATTTTTTGCTAAAAACAAAGTAATTATTAGTCCAAACAAAGCTGTATTTGTTAGATGTAAGCAACAATTTTTAATATGCAGAGCAACTTTTTATTGAATAAAGTAAGATAGTGGCTTATATATATATATTTTTTCAATGAAGCGTTTGTACTCTGTGTCAGTAGTTTTTAGCGTTTTATTTTATTTTTCACATTTTCTATAGTTAGGGAAATTTATTTTGGAACTTATATTTGATGCACATATATTAAAGATAGATATAATATTATATAAAAATGGTGTTTATATTGCTATACTTAAATTGTAGTCTATGTATGAACAAAAAATATAATAAGACAGTAATAAAAAACATTTATTAATGTCAGTTTTATTAAAAATAAAAACTATACACAAATTAATGGGATGGGGGCAGTCTCTACAACCTTAATATAAAAATATAATTTAACTTTAACTTAAAAATAACAATAAAATACAACATATTTTATCTTTGAGGTCAATATAAAACAAATTTTTCATAAACACATTAAAAACAATAAAATAATTAGTTAATCATTGTGTTATTCTTGACATAAAATAACAAATATAATATATCTATATTATACAGTTAATAAAGTGAAAATCCCACAGTTTACTTTTAAAGTTGGGTTCCTATGATTGGTATACTTGCCAAATACACCTATAATCATATGGGCCAGTAATTCACATAGTTTCATTCATAATGTTCCAACAATTAGCACATTTGTCAAGTACATCAAAAAGTATATTATTTGCTTTTTCTTTAACAAATGCTACGTTTTCTGGAAACACACCAGTCACAAGTAATTTATTATATACGTGTACCATTTCAATGGTATTTTTAACATCCAAAAGTGACAAATTTTGGCAAGAACACAATTCATGAGAACCCAGCTTTAGCTAGGAAAATTAAATCAAATAAGAAATTGAAGCAGTCTCTACATTACAAATTAGGTTTAAAATACTATGTCGGCAGTTTTCTTTAGTTAGAACTGGAAGAAATGTACATAAAACTTAAAATAAAACATATAAAATGATTATAGAATTACAGAATTAAACGGAACATTTGCCCTGAGAGTTGGGAGGCGTGGTTATGCCAAACAGATCAAGAGAGATAGGTTAGGTACTGGTATGATAAAAGTGAGAGAAACGGAAGTATTGTTCCAAGGACAGCCAATTAGAGTGATTGTTCAAAACATTAATTAGATTAGGAGCCTCGTAATAAGCTTGCCAGGCATTATCATACTCAATAAACCTATGTTTATTTCTATAAGTCTATGACAATATTAGACAAGTATGTTTTTACAAAATAATAATAAATGAGATGATTAAAATTATACAATAGTAAAAACATTATAAAATTGTAATTGTAAACATTTAACATAGATATGTAATATATAATATAATGGTAATAACTACATAAAAAAGTAGTTTTCTTATCCTCGGCAGTTTAAGCCTACAGCATATCGTCTCCACCATCGTCATCTTCACCAACACCAATACTATTGTACCATAAAGCAGTAACATTCATTGGCTTGAATTTGCTATAATAAATAAGAAAATGATTTAGTTTAAAGAAGTTACAGTATTATGACATACCATGGAGGATAAAGAAGGCATTAAAATTAGGCACACCCCCCATCTCCCAACTATCCTTCATTTCATATTTAAATTCTAACATAATATACATGTACATAACACAAATAGTGATAATTTCCTTAAATATCAATAAATACTTAACCAGAATAACAATGAATATAATGGTACATTAATTATTAGTTATTAAAACATTTGTAAAACTTACCAAAAGTGTGAAAATGGGCAACTTATGATAAATAATTCAGAACCGCTTTTAATATGTGTTGGAATTCCTTCTTCATCTGCATTTGTTCCGTCATCTTGATTATCTGTATTAAGATATAGCCGCCACAGTCCCTTGTAATGCCCTCTAATGTCTAAGTCCCATATACCTAGGCACTAAATATACAAGCAAATATAGTTATATTCTATAATATATTTAAACATAGCTTATAACAGTTGAGAGCATTGAATGATGTTAACACAATTATTAGGCAATTTATAAGATTATCAGCTATTTTGGTATTTATAGTACATGCAAGCATGCATGTACATAAGTCAATAACACATAATTTAATGATAATTCAGCAGCTTGGCAACATTCACACATACTGAGAATCTCTGCATGGGTCAAAGCATAATACATAATGTAGTCAACTTTCTTCTGTTTATTTGTCCTTCACGCCTAATTATTTTCGATCTGTTATTCTTGTCCTATACCTCCATATTGCTGTTCCTCATTTCTCTTTTTCAAAGCCACCTTTTTTTTTAGCGCCATTCAGTATTTTATCTATCCATCTCTTTTCCAGTCTTCCTCAACTTGCCTCTCCTGCTAAATTTATTTTCATAGCTGCTCTCACTGCTTCCGAGTCATTACTTCTCATAACATGTTAAAACCATCTAAACTTATTCTCCCTCATTTTGTCTATAAATGGTGCCACTCCTACACTATGCCCAATTAATTCATTTATTATTCTACAGTTATATTTACCTTAGCATTCTCATCTTTGTTATATTCACCCTCATGTTCTGTTTTAATATGTTATTGTCTATTGCCAAACACTGCGATCTATATAGCTTGCCCGACCTCACAACTGTGGTGTAAAATTTTATATTATAATCTCAAAAACATTCTCTTGTCATATAAAATGCCTGACACTTCTCTTCACTTTATCCGTTTGCACATAATCTTATTTCTGATGCCATCCTCAAAACCACAATTATTTAGTAACACCAATCCTAAGTACTTCACACTACACCATCCCTAACAGTCCCGTTCACCATTCCAAGTTAAAAAATAAATAAATACAAATACATTTCATTCAATATAAATTATAATGAAAAACATTTTAACTATGTGTAATTTACTAAGTTTAGTCAGGCTTTTAGGTCTAAATTGATTAAAGTATTAACCACCTTCAATTCTGTTAATAACCATTAAACAAACTATTTTTCAACATTTACTTATTTACCTTTGCCAAAGGAGTCCAAGCAACATTTGCTGTATTTCTATTGCCACCAGATGGATCTTCCATTTTTATATATAATATAAATAATTTCTTAGACCTAATTGTATTATCACTATTCATCATTTCATCAATAACAAAAAATTCTTCATCTGATTGATAATAGTTTCTGTTTCCGGCATCCTGCATTCTTCTGTTATCATTATGTCTTCTACCTTCATTATTCCACTGTTTTTTTCGACATGGCCACCTACTGTGGTCTAACAGTTGGCCTTCTGTCATGATCCTACGTTCCATCCACCCAAGGTATGCTATTCGAGTCATCCTAAAAACATAACACATACAATTTTATTCCGTATACTCATCTATAAGCATTGTAGAATAACAAATTCAAACTAATTAATATATGAGAAAATAAACCAGTAAATATCATAATACAAAAAATATTATTTAATTTTAGTAAAATATACTGACTTGTCAATGTTTTTAAAACGAATCAGGCCCCCTCCATCATCATATTCTCCTCCAGTTCCACCACTATGAGATCCAGCACTTCCTCCATTTGTAGCAGCATTAGGGTTGTAGAATGCGTGACGACCAAAGTATGTACGTTGAAAGTATGGATTCACGTTAACAGAACGAGATGATCCAAAATGATATGTTCTGCTAACTTCTGGTACTATACATTGTCTACCACGCTGAACTTTAGTTGATCGCATCCACATATCCCAATCCCAGGGCTAAACAATCATATTGATATCAGTTAGTTTTTAGTTGACAGCAGAAGTAATTGATGTGTTTATGGTCCAAGTTAAACAAAAATAACCTATTTTATTTTATTATTAGAAAAAGGTAATGAAATACAGTTGAATTTCAGTATCTATAAATTCTTGAATAAATAAAATTCCCCTTCAAATAACAATAATATTTAATGATTTTGAAAATTCAACATTTTTAGTAAGTCAAATTTTTTTCCTCCTCATGAACTTTAAGTCACCGAGAGTCGACTGTATTAACTATTAACATCAAACAGGAAAAAATTAATTCATTATTACAGCAATAAACCTATTAAAACAATTGCCTTGCAAAATAAAAAAGACAAGGTGATTTAAAAACAAAACTAAGAAATTTAACGAATTTATGAAGACATATTATAAAATTACGAATCTAAAAAATATATAAAGAAAATAGCATAAACTAACTTTTTCTACTGTTGGCCATTCTGATTCTAATTGGTCTTTGTACAAGGATCTTTTAAGCATCCATCCTAATCCTGGCATCCAATCGACCCGGTATAAAACATCTGGTCGACTAGCAGTATGCTCATATCCCTGGTCATTCCATGCAGACACACAGTACAGCGATCCAGAACCACTACCACCATCTGTAGAGTCGTCAGCTACTGCCAATAGTGGAAGAGTCTGACTGAAGAAGCTAAGCAACACAACAAATATTTCACATTAATACAAGAGAGTATAAATCAACAGTTAACTTCATACAATGTTAATACCAAGCTAATTTTCTTATCATCAGTAAATTATAATGTTCAATAAAATATTTAGAAGAATAATATAAGCAGACACCTAAAAAAGTCAACGGAAACATCAAGGTCGTCTTCCAACACAATAGCATAATCAGCCTGTGGGAACAGTGAACCAAATGTGTTTGTTAAGGCTGATTTATAATGCTGTGTTACTCGACGGCGACGTGAATTAGAATTGCTTGCAATTTGCCCTCCACCAACACCACTGGCCGAATCTCCTACAGCAGGCATATGTTGCACAGCCCTCACACCCAACAGCCGAGCCACTTCAACTGGTTCATCATAATATCCGTCTACATGAACAGTAACCATATGTCGTTGAACACCTCGAGCATTCAGCACAGATTTTAGTGTCCTTTAAATCACAATTATACAGAATATACTAAAATTAAACTTCCACAACAATATAATATAAAAAAGTAAGTAATACATAATCAGCATATAATATAAATCACTTAGTATGTCTACAAAGAATAATTATAATACCTGTAAAGATAGTCAGCTCGATTACCAGCTACTATTACCACAGGCACTCTGTCAATATTTGAATCAGGTATCTGCATACAAATAATTCAAATTATTATATGACCTAATGGGTAATTTTTCCTATTTCAATAAAAATATTCTACACTCACAGGCAATGGATGGAAGTCTAGAGGAGCAGGATGTACGCAGCTACATACATCACCATAGCCCTCGATACGGCTACAGAATCGTTGTCGCCGTGCCAGTGGTGATTCAACTATAACATCATCATCAATAATGGAGCCACTGTCCACAAAATCACCACCATCATCATTGTTATCTTCGGAAGCACCAGCTGTTATCCACGAATCACACCACTCGTCATCTACAAATCAATAATTAATGTAAGGTATAGAAAAATTAAATGTTAAATAAACTGGGTGATTATGCTTAAGTTATACATAAATACTCACTTTGATTGTTATGACTACGATTTACATCAAGTGGAACTTGTACGCGCAGTAAAACATCAGTGCCCCAAGAAGATATAGCTGGTACACTCTTACTATTATGTTGTAAGACTAAGCTCGGGTTGCTATTATAGCTCTCTCCGTATACACGACCACCAATACCATCAACATTTCTCTCTCCTTCTGGATCATTGTTATGATGTTTGGCTACCATTGCCCACATATCACGCCAACCAAGTTCATACAGCCACAATGATCCACCTGCAGCAGATCCAGATCCACTTCTACTAGCACTAGCACCGCTTGCGCCAGTATGCATTTGCATAGCACGCCTACCTTCGTTGGTGAGGTGGAATGATGCTTCATCCTAATAAGTAGTATAGAAAGATTAAATTAAATTTAAAAAATAAGTCCAAATTGACAAACACTAAAATTCCAAAGTTTTACTTAGCTGACACGGTATAAATATATTGACAGTAATTTAACATGCATGAAAACTTAAGAAGCTTACATATTACAAGTTTTATTTATATTTGTTATTAAAATAAGCAATCATTAATAAATACTGGAGTCAAAATGTCATTTCTTTATATTAACTAAAATTAGGTAGGTTGCACACGACAATGTATGTGACGCTAATTGACAAACTGACTTGAATATATAACATACAAATTTAGTGATAGTTAATGCCATCTAAATCAACAGCTATATGTTTTACTTATTAACAACTAAAAACAGGAATTGTACTTAAAATTTCTTTTTATAATTATGTCTACCTATTATTTCTAATCTTATACACTCAATTTTTCACTTTGTGGGGGTTTTTATGTTACTTTTTGAGCACAATTAGCTATTCTACGATTTTCATTGTTTTTAATACATACAAGTAATTTTCATAATTGAATCGAGCAAATTTATTACTATTATTAATAACTACAATTTTAAACTTTATAATAGTCAATACAAGTTACAACTTAAACAAAAAGGATAAGTTTGGAGCTTGTATATTAAAATTTATTGGATAAATGTGTGAATAAGAATTTTGAATAATAATAATTGTGAAATAATGAAATATAATATATGGCCAGTACTAACTTTAACAGCAAATATCATTATACGGCCAGAGGACACACGATGCAAAAAACCAATGAGCGGTTCATCATCCATGTATGTATCAAATACCCGTTGAGCCATCACCATACCAGTGTGTTGATTCAAGACAACAACATGCATGCCTCTATTGTTTAATGGATCACTATCATCAATCACCTGAAAATAAATAAATAAATATATATTTTTTTTTACTAATTTTATTTTATGCAAAGAAAATATCAGAGCTTTGTTAGGTTTCTCTCTTTGAACCTTGCGCAATATAGCAAATTTGCATTCCGCAAAACCAATTTTTGTTATTATCTTTAATATTAAATTTGAGTATATTATCTGTGTTTGTATGTTCTGTTTTTATGATTTAAATTTTTCTGCAATGAGTATGTGGTATATGAACATTTTTAAATTATAATAATTTACGCACTTATAATTTGCATACAATTCTTACAACCTATATTATGCTATAAAATTTTGAATTTGTGTTCCACTTTAATATTAAATAATTTTAAAATGTACCGTATTATGATAACCAAAACAATAATATACTAAATTATATTATATCAATCATTATTAAAACTAAATATTTTCAAATTCAGATAAATTCAATGATAATAAACTATCAACTTTGGGCATTGAGTCAACACTGTTAACATACAATTTTAATTCATTACTGAAATTCGCATTATGCAATTCAAAAGTTTGCATTAGCGAAACACACTGGTTCATTATTATTTTCGATAATTAATTGTAATCAAATAATTTTCAGTTTTCTAGTATTATATATTTTAAGCTAGAACAATATCAATGTAAATAATATGTAAATTACCGTTGCATCGTCAACACATATCCTCACGCGGTTTTTACTAGACAGTACCTCTATAGATATGTACTTTGCTGTATCACCTTGAACCCATTTACTACTGTTGTTGTAACCAATACCTACTGCAGAAGTTGCAGGGTCAACATGGTGGTTAGCGGTGAGCAAAGTCAGTATCACGTTGACCAGGACAAACAGGATGACAGAACACACGAGTAACACCTGTAAGTGAAACAGACATTAGACATGCTGTTTGGTTAAATATGATACTGTAATGCTACAGCTTCAATGAACTGGCAGATACTCACCCTGACACGTTTCCAGCAACAACAGTTTCGACGCATGGCCGCCGCTGCCATGGTTTTTGTATACATGCGCACAGAGAAATCGCTCATTGCTACGGTTTCACCAGACCACTATAGAGGCGTTTTCTTCCGCACAGGACTATATTCGCCACCACATCACTCGGAATAGTCGAAACAAAAGCACGTGCGATGGTACGTGAAACCGGTGTTTGGGTGTTGTCTTTCCAAAAATATTTCGCGCTAGGTGTTCCTACTTTATCTCTTCCGATTTGTGTCGAGTAGCGCTCGGTACGTAAGTTTTTTTCCGCCGATTCAATCCACCGCGCAAAAATCCATGAGACGGACGCGGTAACGACGGTCGACGATAGGAAATATTATCCTGATCTTACCGGTTACTCAATAGTTAGTAATCACAATACGGTTGGTCATTAGACCATCTCCACCACCGCCACCGACGCCGAAGATCGTCGTTTGTGCCCGTCAGTACGATGCGTCGCTGCGGACGGATCGGTAGCCACAAAGATTACGTCATGTCCACAGGGATCGTACGTACCTTGTGGTATTATAGTGTCTTCGACTGTTTCCGATTCAACAACAACAACAACAACAATAATAATATCAGTTTAGTCATTCGCGCGGTGAGTAGTCTAGAGTGTTGATAACAGTAGATTGTAAGCAACATCTTTACCCACACGCTTTGTTGTCGCGGCTGATAAGAGTGAGACGAGCAAGAGACCGGATGGCCAACTCCGACAGATGTCGCGTCAAGTAATGCATATTGAAGCCTCCACGGTGAAGACACCTACAGAGTGGGTAGTGGATAGTTGGTACTGCTTAGTGGGTAGAGTGGGTACTACTCTACGGTGAAGAGAGTCACCCTAACTCCAGTAGTCTTGTTATAATATTATATTTATCTATCCATATTATTGGTATTCACTATAAATAAAGGTACTATTTTTTAGATTCTGAGCGATGAATGTATTGATTTCACGATGATGTTTATTTAAAGAAAAAACAATTTTGTGACCGCGTACCCAACTAAGTAGTCAAAATAATGATTCGATTTTCACCTTCAGTATCTTGTCCAATATTTTCGATTTTTATTAGTGTTTTTTAAATTAATGCCGATAAAAAATTTTGGCTCGGTCAAAAAACTTGAAAATGTAATACAAAGTTACTCTTAAGTTTTTGTTAGTAGAAATTTAAAAAAAGTTGAGCATAATAGAAATGAATAAAAATTGTCTATGTATACATAAGATTTGAAAATTTAATAGAAGAGTCCCCATAAGTTTTCCTACACATTTACCTAATAAAAAAAAGTTTGCCGAAAAGTCAAATACATTTTTTATGAGCGTTTGAAGTTTGGCATTAGATATTCACCCGTACACCGTAAAAGTTAACAAATTCTCATAGAGTGATTTTGTTATTTTGTTGTGATCAAATCGAAAATTGTTATAAAAATTTAATAGTCGTAGGTACTTGAAGTCTTGAAACGTTCACAATCTCAAAGTATAAAAACCAGGTGGTTATTAGTTATATAGATAGGTGTTTTACAGTAATTTATTTACAAATATACTTATATGAATAATAACTACATTAAACAGTAGGGTGATGGTGATACGTATTATTTATTAGACTAATTCTAATAGTAACTATAAGAGCTAATTATTTAGGTTTACAACTTTGGTATGTGTTGTACAAGTTTGTTGCTTGAAAGGACGTCGCACCCGCGTGTGTTGTCTCAGTCTTACACACGAACAAACAACATAGCTAATTTTCGTTCATTACTTTCAATAATATGCTGTTAGTTTTGATACTATAGTGAATTTACCTAAATTATCAAACCTGTAGGTAAGAACTTTATTTGTGTTCTCTCTTTGTTTTTACGATATTTTAATTTTTAAGTGAATTATGAGCATTTAAAAATATTAATACTTTTCCATACTTAGAACTTACTTAAAAATTTAAATATCATAAAAAACCAACTAGAGTACACAGGTAATGGGTAACGCTCTGCTGTACATTAGGTATTTATAGGTGTCTAGAGAATGATTGTAATATATTATGTGTTAAATTTTTAATTTGAATTCAATTAAAAAACAGTTCATTTCATAGAAAAATGATTTTGAGCGAAGAGTGAAGACTGCATGTTAACCTATAATATCACTAAGTATAATTGATGATATTATTGTGATTATAAAGTAATTAATTTTACTATTAGGTATTAGCACTGCAGCTGTAAATTCATTTTCGCCAAAAAATTATATATGAAAATGTCAATATAATAATAAAAAATATATAATAAAATATAATAATTTACTCTAAAAGATCCACAAAATACGAATAATATTTTTTAATTATAACAAAATAACTAAAATCGTTATTCTTTGATTTAATATGTAATTTAACTAATATTAAATTAACAATTTTTTTATTTTTTATACTTACAATATTACTTTATAATTCAAAACTTATAAAAATAAATAAATATATATATATATGACTATATGGATCTTTAATATTTCCAAACTGCTAGTATAACTATTCTTATGAGGAATACTTGTATTGAATTTTCAAGCATTTCAAACCAATGAAAAAAATTGTAATTTTATTTATAGAAAATAAAACTAAAAATATTGAAAATCTCAAATAGTTCATAGAAATCGCTAATACATAAATATTTGGTGAAAATTACTATAGTATCTACTATTTTTTTGGAGTTACACTAAAAACAAAATCGATTATTTCAAAAGCTGGTTGTGTGTAAAAATCTCTGATTTTTCTTAATCTTTTGTATTTGTTTTTACTGATACTTTTGAAAACTATCGGTAAAACCAGAAAAGACGCTGTTGAAGAAAATCAAAGAATTTTTACTGTTATAAAACGTGATGACAGAAACACTCACACACACATCATTGTAAAATCATCGGCTCAGAACCTAAAATAAATGTAAATACAATTTTTTTAAAAATATTTCTCATGTATTTGTTGGGGGCAAGTGTACCATACTGAAGACAGTAAATATTTGTTGACTTTTGTGGTGTAATTATTGTTCCTACAAAAATGATAATGTTATAATAATATATTATCGAGGTTTGACGTTTGTAAAGACTATAGACAGATATAAGATTATACCTAGTTGTAGTTAAAAGTCACTTGATCTACCTAAAATATAAAATATGTTAGTACTATTTGAAAAATAATTCAATATTACTGCTTAGTACTTACTTACATAGTATAACATCTTATCAGTAGCAAAAGACAATACCTATTTGTAATATATAAGTATTAAATCATCTGGTTAATAATTTGCATAATTAAAATTATTACTAACTTATAATTTCAAGGTTAAGAGGAGAGGACGCCACACCGGCATGAGTTGTTTCGGTCTCACAAACGTACAACATAGTAGTTGTTTTGAGCGAAATAGAATCACTGAAGCTAAGCAACCAAATATTCACACTTTAAACAATAGAACATTTACTGTGCGACTTAGTCTTTATTTTTCGATATCACAAATACAAGAAAAGTTATTTAAGCTTGAAATAATTAATTTTTAAATAGTAAGAACTTTTCTTGTATTTGTGATATCGAAAAATAAGAACTATAAATACTCAGTAAATGTTCTTCTCTTAATAGTTTAAAAATTTGGCTGGTTAGCTTTGCCTAAGATAACCTAACCTAACCTAAGATAAGTTACGGCTAAGATTCTTGGAAATCTGTAAGGTAGGTATATACGAGCAGTCACACGTTCCTATATTTTGGGATCACAAAAGTTTTAACATGAAAATCCTAAGTCTTTTTCCTTATTCTTTTTTCTAGGTTATGTACGAAATGGATTTTCGAATTGTTATATTGTTGAATTTGTATAGTATACCAAATTTATTTTCTTTTCTTTTCAAATATTACTATTACTTAAGTGTTACTAAAAAAAATTTATTTCCTACAAAACACAGATATGAAAGATAAGAAGCGAGCAATTTCAAATATTTTTTCAAAATTAAAATTGGAAATTTGAAGCATATTTTTTTCTTCAGCTTATTGGTTTAAATACACAAAAAACTTCTAGCTTTCCACAGCCTTAATAAATTCTCGTTGGAAATATTATTCAGCTGCCGTTCATCAGTATATTTTATTATATACTATTTATGCATATATTAAACACATTTAAAAGCAAATTCGGTGAATTCGAAAGAGAATTAACAAATATTCTACTGGCATCCTCTCAATACTTATGTTTTACAGTAGGTAATCTATTGGTTTATTTGTTCGACTCCATTATAATAACTTACCATATAATTCTTAAGTTTTTATACTTAAACGCAAGGCCGGGCAAGTATGAATATTTTTTTTAAAACACAGTTGAGTTAAGTTAATGTTTCATCAATAACAAAAAGTTCAATGTTAAAAGTTAATTTTTTTTATTTATGCGTACTTTATTTTTTACCAACCCAAAATTATCGGGTAGAACCATTATACAGTATTTCCATATAAGTTATAATGAAAAAATGAAAAATTTTAAACTTTAATAAATTCACGGTAAATATTTTTTGACATGATGATGAAAAATATGAAATAGACTCAAATAGTGAAATGTAATAAAACTAAAAACAAAATAAATAAATAAAACTATTACTCCTTAAAATAAAAATTAACCTGATGTTAATTAAAAAAGAAACTTAGAAAGTTAATAGTTAAGATAATGAAAATCAAAAAGTAACTAGTTGAGTTAAAAAGTTAAAACAAAATAAACTTAATAAATCAATTCAGTTAAAATAATAGTTAATAATAATGAGTCGCGTGAGTAATCAATGATAATAATAATAACTATTTTAATAGTCATATATCTATGTCATTGTTTACGTCATAATAATTTATCATTATAAGTATAAGTTATAACTAATGAGTAATGTGGTTTGCCGATTATGACCTACTATATGCATTAAAAACAAAATTATTATTTGTAGGTAGTAGGTTAGGTTATCTTAAAGAGACGAAGAGTAGGTATATCTGTAAGGCTATAACAGTAACATAAATATTTAAAACTTGTACATAATATTATTTAATTTTAAGTTGTTTCTTGTTATCTTTATGTATAAGATATTACAATTTTATTATCCTAAACAAATGCCTATAATTGTTACAGTGGAAAGTAATTGACTCATCAAAAAAATTTGATATATCCAAGCTTGGGAAAGTTAACGGCTTTTCTTAACTCAGTTAACTAACTTTTTTTTTCAATTTATAGAAATTTGTAGGTAATACATTTATAAAGTTAAATACTTAGTAATTTTAGTTTAAACTTAAATACTAACTGAAATCAATTTAATTTACAAAGAATATTATTCTTAATTTTTATAAAATAATCATTCCCATTTCAAATTACAGAAATTATTCATAATTACATATTTTATTTTATTTCTCATAATAATAATGACCTACTTAAAATCATCTTCAAAAAAAAAATCTGGTAATGAAAAGTCACCTCGGCGATTGAAATGTGAAGTGCGATCCTGGAGTCGTTTTGGTGAAACATGTTTTTGCACCTATACCTGTATACCTACAATATATATACATAGTAGGTATTGTGTGTATAATGTACTATGTACACAACTCAAATATATAATATACTGTAGATACCTACTTTACCAATTTTGATGAATTATTTCGACAGAGTAATAATTA